CGTTTTGGGCGAGTCCCCTGGACAAGATGCTGCACGTGGAGGTGGCGGACGTTCCGGTTCGGCCTGACGTGCACGCTCCGCAAGCCCAACAAATTTTGCGCACTGCACGGCGCGCGGTAGCTGGACTGCCACACTGACCGTTTTGGAATTGATGGTAAATTCGGCCGGCGCACTGGCGATGGCTTTGTTGATTGCCCCGTTGAGATCCCAGCATCTCGTGCGAGTGGGAGCTTGGACCATCATCTGGATTGTCGTATTGAAGGCGCACGAGTTGCAGATCCTCTTGGTGGCCTGCGTATCGATGAGGGCCTGGCTGTCTGCGTCCATCTCGGCGGAGAGCTTGTTGACGTACTGCTCCACCTCGTGCGAGAGCATGGCGGAGTCCTCCTTGGCATTCCAATTCAAGATGTAGCCTTTGATTTCCACCCTCTGCGGAACGAAATTCATGTCGCTGGACCAGCTGCCTCCTCCAGTTGCATCCTTTGTTCAGATTCCCGCACGGACCTCACGAGCAGCCTCTTTGGCCACAGTCCCAGCGATTGTCGTGATCTTCGTGACCATTGCCTCTACAGCCCTCGTCGCCACGAGGTCTGCGGCCTTCTCGGCAGCCCTGGTGGAAGTGTCCTCGATCAGGCGCCTGATATCTTCCGAGTTCATCCTTCCGGGCGATCGCGACCTCCTCACCGGGTCGGCCTCGGAGCCCGTGCGCAGCTAGCAAGAATAGAGAGAAACGGTGAGACGGGCGCCGCCACAGGCGAGCGATCTCTGGCTGGTGCGCACGTGTGTGGCAAAGGAGAGACGTGGGTAAGGCACTAGTAGACGGAGGCGCACCGAGCCAAAAACGCGTGCGCCATTTTAGCTCATGCACGTGCACGTGCCGGTCGGAAGAAGTAGGCAAAAGCATGAAGTAGGAAGGCGGACGTCAAGCAGATTGGGCTCAGGCCCTCCCAGGGAATTGCACAACACGGCAAGACCATGCCGATGATTGAGGCAGGAAGACGCCAGAAAAGCTGGGATCTACCCGAGACCCCTGCCTTTCAGCGACCAGCGCGCACGTCCTGCTTCCGCTCCTGGCCTTAGGTCGGGCCTGCCCCCCTACAGGCCCACCTTCGAGGAAAAATTATAAAAAAATATTAGAAAAATGCTCAAAAATGGCCCAACAGAATCAAAGAGTCATCCCCCGACTACTCCTTGACTATTTCTGAACATTCCTCCTGCAGAGGGACAGGCCGACTCAGTCCTGGCCTTATGTTGTTCCTATCCTACTTTGAAGACCGCATCCCAGAAATAATTTCGAGCACCCTGAAAAGTGTCAAAAGAGTGTCGAAACAGTGTCGAAACAGTGTCGGGCGAGTGTCTCTCAGGGCCCGACAGGTGAAAACCCTCGAGTTTGGGTACTTTTTGGGGGCGCTCGACATTCTTCCTGGCGACCGAGGCTAAAGTAGGCTGGAGCATCATAATCCTGGCCCTCCCCGCCCCTGCCCCCGACTCCCGTTTTTGGACGCCCGACATGGGCACGGATAGAATGGGTACAATGCCCAAGAACAAATGTTGTCCCAAACCAACAGCGGCCGCTGTTGGGCAGGCGGCCTCCTGTCTCGAATGGACACAGGCCGCGGCGGCTCGGACGGCGAGTCCTGTTCAAAAGGAACAGGAACGGCTGTTGGGCATCGTACCCATTCTTCCCGTGCCTGTTTCGGGCCTCCGGACCGTTGCCGCCGCCCCTCCCGCGCTCTGCCTCGGCACAGCGAGGGACTGGCGCCGGCCCTCCGGCCGAGCGGGCGACTCTGGCGCGCGCGCCTCCCTGCCCGGAGGACAGCTTGCAGGGAGAGACGTACGACCAGGAGAGCTCCTCCTCCTCCTCCTCCTCTTTCCCCTCCTCCTCCTCCTCCTCCTCCTCCTCCTCCTCCTCATTTTCCTCCTCCTCATATTCCTCCTCTCCTCCTCCTCCTCCTCCTCCTCCTCTCCCTCCTCCTCCTCCTCCTCCTCCTCCTCCTCCTCCTCCTCTTCCTCCCCCTCCTCCTCCTCCTCCTCCTCCTCCTCCTGGCCAGGCATCCCTGGCCCTGGGGCCAGGAGGTCTGCACACCGACCCAGGGCCTACGGAGTGCCTGGCCAGGGCTGGCGGCGGCGTGTCATTGGCGTCCCTCTGGCAGAGTCGGGGTTCGGAGGACACGGGCCGGCCCGACGGGGCGGCCCAAGAAATGACGAGACCCAGTCTGAGATTGGACGCGAGCTTCCGCTGCAAGCGTCCCACGAAAGCGGGGCCGTGGGACGCCAGCGTCAGCAAACCCGAGCTGCAGGTCGGGCCTGTCCCCCATACAGGGGGATTTTGGACGAAAAATAAAAAAATGCCGAAGCATGCGCAAACAATGCGCAAAGATGCTCTAAAAAATCGTCCCACGACTATGTTTTGACTTTTGAATATTTCTCCTGTAGGGGGACACGCTGGACCCAACCCAAGCACTGCCGAACTCGAGTCCCACGTTTCCCCGAAGCCCGGGGATCCCAGGACGGTGCGGCGGCACGGCGTGCGGTGATCTCGAGATCCCGATGGACCTCACGGCTCGGCCAGCCACCGCCCGGGCTGCGGACCCTGGAGGCCCCCGTCGCCCGAGCGTCGTCGGAGAACGACTGAGATCCCACCACCGTGCGGCCGCCTCGAGTCCCCACGAACTCACCCGACCATGTGGTCGCCGCACAGCTTGGGGACTTCCGAGCGAAGCGAGGGACAGAGGAGCAGCCGGAGGGTGAAGGAGACGAGAGACGGACGACGACAGTCGTCCTCCGTCCGAGGTGCTCTTGCAACGCTGCGCACGATCCAAGCGAGAGCCGTGCCGAGCGAACGGCACCGCGTGCAGCATCGGCCGCCTTGCGTGTGATGTCTCGGAATGGCCCGGGGGCAATAAACATCGAGGGTCCACAAATTGTCAGAGCGGACTCACAGGTCACCTCCGTCTGGGCCACACGGCTAAGATGATGCAGCGTCCAGCACTCGGCGGAGGTCGAGTGACAGCGCCACGCAGTGGACAACGTCGCGCCTCGAGTGAACACAGGCACCGCGAGGTACACGCACGATGGCAGAGGCAAATCTAAACAGACACGGCAGAGTGGACGTCGACAAGGGCGGGGCACGCAGGAGGAGGAGGAGGAGGAGGAGGAGGAGGAGGGAAAGGAGGAGGAGGGAAAGGGAGGAGGAGGAGGAGGAGGAGGAGGGAAGGAAGGGAAAAGAGGGGAGAGGAGGAGGAGGAGGAGGAGGAGGAGGAGAGGAGGAGGAGGGAGGGGGAGGGGTCATCTTCGGAGCCTCTGGGGGCGACGTCGAGAAAGCGACACGAGGAAGGGAGACGTAAGACGTAACAGCCGCCATCCCAACCCCCGCCCCGATTGCCATCCGCCGGTGCACCAGCGCAGGAGGCTCGGAGCACAGCCGAGGAGGAGGAGGAGGAGGAAGAGGGAGTAGGAGGAGGAGAAGGAGGAGGAGAGGAGGCGGAGGAGAAGGGGAGGGGATGAGGAGAGGAGGGGAAGGGACGAGGAGGAGGAGGGGAGAGGAGGGAGGAGGAGAGGAGGAGGGGAGGAGGGAGGGAGGAGGAGGAGGAGGAGGAGAGGAGGAGGAGGAGGAGGAGGAGGAGGAGGAGGGAGGAGGAGGAGGAGGAGGAGGAGGAGGAGGAGGAGGACCACCACGAGGACGGCCAGATGAGGGAACGCAGGGGCGCTTCTTCCTGGCCGCAAGGAGCCTCGGCCGCGAAGGGGTTCCCCGACCCAGACTTAGGTCGGGCCTGTTCCCCTACAGGCCGATTCTGGACGAAACAATTTAAAAAATACCCCAAAAATTCCCTAAAAATGCTCAGACGATTTTTGAACATTCCCCCTGTAGGGTGACAGGCCCGACTTAAACCCAGATCCGAGGAGCGGCCGGAAATCCCAGAGCCGGCCCTTTGTTCAGCGCCTCGGCTGTGGAGCAGCTCGCCACAAGAGGCTCCGAGGGCGCGAGAGGGGCGGCTGCCCAGCCTGGGCCGCGGCGCGCGACACCCATCGAGCAGACCCACTCGACGCGCTTCTCGTGGATCTGACGACCAGATCGATTTCAAATCGACCTGGTCGTCGGATCAACCAATCATTATGTACCCCCAAATCATTTGGGGGTGCACCAACCCTGTAGTTGAGCCCCTGCTCGAGCCCGGGGGACTGGGGGCGCGCACAAGGGGGGGCAGGGGGAGGGGGGAAGGCTTCTTGGAAGGAGGCTGCTTCGCGGAGGGCGCCGGCCGTACATCCATAGATGAGGCCCGCGCCCTCTGAGAAGCGGGGGTGCTGCCAAGAAGGCTTCCCCCCTCTCCCTGCCGGGACCCTCGAAGCCATGACTCCGTCACATCGTCGACCCCTGGAGGTCTCGACCCATTCCCCGGGGACGGGCTCCTCATCCCGAGCCGCTCTTGCACGGCCCCGAGGCCCGGTGAGGGCCCCCAGAGTTAGGTCGGGCGTGTCCTCCCACAGGCGGATGTTGGTCGAGAAATAAAGATGATCCACATTACGCAAAAAATGACTACATGAAAAAAGATCATCAAGAACTGGCAAGAGTAGACAAAAATCCTACAAAAATCGTCCCTGAGCTATTTTCCTGTTTTGATACCTCCTCCTGGAGAGGGACACGCCCGATTTCCCCCTAGAGGCCCAAAAAAAACAAAAATCAAGGAGCCGAACTCTATACACCGACGCTGTTTCCAACCCTGCACTGAGATTCGCACAAGAAAGCGGACCCTGGTGTATACGGGATTGTGGCGTATACATGTTCCGTTGTCTCCCCAGGAAAACAAGGAAAAAGGATACACCACACCACCCCGACGTCGTCCCCGACCCTCCAAAAGTCTTGGGATTGAACGGCAGCCCGCCACTGCTACTCCATTTGCTCCAGCTTACGAAAACAATCACCCGTCGCGATTCTCATCCTCTTCCGAGGGGGTCTGCGCACCCCCCTTCTGCTCGAACCCACGGGGCGCAGCCGACGCCTGCGTGCGCCCGGCGTTCTGCGCGGCGGCCGCCGCCGCGGCCGCCGCGGCCAGGAGAAGGCGCCGCGCGGCCGCCCTCATGGCCTCAGTCGGGGCCGCCTCGGGACGCGGGGAAGAGCGAGGAGCGAGGAGCGGGGAGCGAGGAGCGAGGAAAGGCAGGAGGTCGAGGAGGAGACGCGAGGAGGAGGCCCTCGTCGGGGCCGCCTCTCTTCGGGGCTGTTGCGCGTCGTCCTCGTCGTCGTCGGCGTCGTCGTCGTCGGCGTCGTCGTCGTCGTCGGCGTCGTCGTCGGCGTCGTCGGCGTCGTCGTCGGCGGGGGCGTCGAAGGCGTCGTCGTCGCCGGCGTCGTCGGGGGGGGACGAGCACTCACACACCCGAAGAGAGGAGCCTGTCGGCCAATAGTGGGGGACGAGAAGAAGCGTCCGCGGGGCAAGAGAAGTCGGGTGGGGTTGTCCAGATGCCGTGAAGCCCTCAGACCACGAGCAAGATGGGGAGAAAACTCAAAAACACCACCGGGCTCGAGGAAGGTGGTCCAGGGACGTGGGGCACGAGGGCGAGGAAGGAGGAGGAGGACGTGAAAGATGCTGAAGGTTCTGGGGAATGCTTGGAACCATCTTGGGGGCATATTGGCTCGATTGCGCTCTTGAGGCGGTTTGGGAAGCCTTTTGTGGCGTCTTGGAACTGTATCGGGGCCAATTCGGGGCCCTCTGGAGCCCTCTTGGTGACCGTTTGGGCCGTTCGAAGACCCTTTAGACCGTCTGAGGGCCCTCCTGCGTCCGTATTGGGTTCCCTTGAAACCCTCCAGAAGCGATGTCCAGAAGATGTTTGAAAGCAGCCTCTGCCAGAACACATCCGAAGCCAATAAAAACTGCACACGCGTCTGTCCTATGTAAAATGGAGTGGGTGTGATACGAATCAGCGGTTACATTGATCCTTCTCCTCACCCATATTCTCTCCCTCCCTCCTCCTTCCCCTCGGCCTCCCCGTCCACCCTGTTCATTACTCCCTTCTCACGCCTCCCTCCTCCTCCTCGTTACTTCAACAAATGAGAGCCCCTCGAGGCATCGAATCGAACACAGCATCAGTTCAACGCTTGAACAAGGCACAACGCTGTTTGTTTGCCGCCCAAGCCAAAAATTGTCTCGAAACAACAAGTTTGGGTGGGACCCTCCGTGACACCGACCTACCATGGGCGCCGTCCTCTGGCCCCACCCCCTCCACCAAGGCGCCCGCCCGAGCGCGGTGAGGGATTCTCGAACAGCACAAAATGATAGTGCTCGTTCGTCCGCCCGCCTCTCTCCTCCGCCTCCTCCCTCCTCTTCCTTCCCCTCCTCCTCCTCCGCCCCCTCCTTCCTCTTCCTCCTCTTGCTCTTCCTCCTCCTCCTCCTCCGCCTCTTCCTCCTCCTCCTCCAATTCTTCCTCTTCCTTCAATTCCTCACCGTCATCATCATCACCACCGCAACCATGCTCCTCGTCCTCGTCCTCATCCTACTCATCCTTTTCCTCCTCTTCCTCCGCCTCTTCCTCCTCCTCCTCCTCCTCCTACTCGTCCTCCTCCTCCTCATCCTCCCCCTCATCCTCCTCATCGCCACCACCACCACTACCACTACCACTACCACCACCGCCACAAACACCGCCATCCTCATCCTCATTGTCACTACCATCATCACCATTCTCATCAGCATCATGAGCATCAGCATCAAAATCCTTTTCTTCCTCCGCCTCCTCCTCCTCATCCCCCTCCTCGCTTTCTTTTCCCCCTCCTCCTCCTCCTTCCGCCTCCTTTCTCCTTCCTCATCTCCTCCTCCTCCTCCTCCCCTCCGCCTCTTTCTCCTCTCCTCCCCCTCCTCCTCTCCTCCTCCTTCCTCCTCATCTCCTCATCCTCCTCTTACTCCTTTCTCCTCCTCCTCCTCCTTTCCCTCCTTCTCTTTCCTCCTCCTCCTCCTCCTCCCTCCTCATCATCCTCCTCCTTCTCCTCCTCCTCCTCCTCCTCCTCCTTCCTCCTCCCCCCCTTTTTTCTCATCATCCCCATCTCCCGCCTCCTCCTCCACCTCTTCCTCCCCCACCCCCCCCCTCCCCATCACCATCAGCATCATCATCACCACGACCATTACCAACACCACCACTACAAACACCGTCGTCACCATCACCATCATCATCATCATCATCAGCATCATCATCATCATCATCATCATCATCATCATCATCATCATCATCATCATCACCATCATCAGCAGCAGCAGCATCATCACCATCCTCATCATCATCACCATCATCATCATCACCATCATCATCATCGTCATCGTCATCCTCCCCCGCCGCCTCCTCCTCTTCGTCGTCGTCAAAACCTTCCTGTCTTCACCATTTCGGTACGTTGTTTCCTCCATTCCTTCCACCTGCCCCCCTTCCCTCCTCCTCCTCCT